CTATCGAAAAAGGACCCGGGAGCGGTTAGGCCGATAGCTCTCATGAGCCACTTAGGCAAGTTATTCGAGAGGGTCTTGGTTAGGAGGCTGCAGGAGAAGCTGGCGCTGTCGGCTAAACAATTCGGTTTCCGGAAAGGCAGAGGAACTAATGATGTGCTGGAGGCAATCCACGCCAGAGCGGAACAGGCGTTGAGAGGAACGTGGAGAGCCAGGGAGGTGGTTGTGGTGACCTCCCTTGACGTCCGCAACGCTTTTAACACGGTTTCCGTCTATGTTATTATGGAGGCTCTAGAACGAAAAGGAGTGTCGAGAAATTTCAGAAGGCTGGCGCATAGCTATCTTACGGAAAGAACGGCAGAGGCGAGACTACCGTCGGGGGCGGCGTACACCTTTGAGATCAAGGAAGGGGTGCCACAGGGCTCGGTGTTGGGGCCCCTTCTGTGGAATGCGGTGTTGGAGCTGCAGGTTCCCAGAGGGGTGGACCTGGTGGCTTATGCCGACGATCTAACGGTGGTGGTTACGAATAGGTGCTTCGAGGCGACGGCGGAAGCGACGAGCCGAATGGTAAGGAACGTACAGACGTGGATAGAGGACCACGGCCTTCAGTTGGTGGGGGCCAAAACACATGCGGCCCTTCTGGCCGGGAGAGGAAGACTCCCCTCCACCAGGATTTAGGTAGAGGGGACGGATGTTCCTCTCGCGCGCCAGATGGATATCCTCGGGGTGAGGCTGGACAGGAGCCTGAACTATATCACGCACGCGGAAAGCGTTATCGAGAAAGCCAACCGGACGGCCACACAACTACGGAGACTGTTCTGGAATAGTGGCTCCCGGGAAAGTAGAAGGAGAGTACTTGCGGCGGCAGTAAACAACGTGGTTTTATTCGGGAGTGAAGTGTGGGGGGCAAGGGCGTTAAAAACACATAAGGAGCGAGAAAAATTAGACAGTTTACAACACAAAGGGCATTAGGGATCGCGGCCGCTTACCGCACGGCTCCCACGAAGGATTTGTTCGTAGTGGCGAGCACTCCACCGCTAAGGCTATTGGTGGAGGAAAGAGCTAGGGAGAGGAGTAGAGTAGAAACAATGAATATATGGCAGGGGGAGTGGGAAACCCGCTCCTCCTGGACGTGCACTCTATTTCTCTATGTATGACGAATGTGTGTAATCCTCAAATTACTCGTACACCTCTGCAGGATTAAAAATGGGAAACAGAGAACTGTAAGGACTGTGGACAGAGGGACACGGAAGGGCACGCGGTATTCCAGTGTCTAAGGTGGGAAGCGGCTCGCTGGAGGCTAGTGATGGCAGTAGGAGAGGTTCTAGATCCCGATAACTTGGTTGCAATGATGTTGGGAAGCCCGGAGAAGTGGGAGAAGACGAGCAAGTTTATTGAGAAAATAGTAGCAACCAGAGAAGAGAGTAGCGAGGGAGAACGGGGGTGGCAGAAGATATTTAAAGAACCGAGAAGGAAAATGTCACCTCTGGAAGAATGCACAGCGATGCTCAGAGGCGGACATTTGAAAATGTAATCAGAGAGAAAGGGTTTAGTGAGTGAGAGCCTCACAGTACCTCCGCCGATAGATATAAGGGCGGTGGTGTGCGAGAGGACATTCCCTATCTATAAAAAAATACTAATAATAAACCGTACAAGATTTATCAATCTTTATTTAGTTTTTTCTATTGCCATAATTTAAAGTTTTGTTGAATTGTGAAACAAATAAAGATCACTAAATTTCTTTTATTAGAATTTACTGGTAACTCCTTCTTTCTTAGGTTGGCATAGGTTGCTGTGCGCAAAAGTGAGTGCGCCGACGGTGAATATGCGCGCCTGTAAGGTAAACGCTGCCGTCTTCCGGCGTTTTTTGGCATGATTAAATTCAAAGCTAATTAAGGAATCCTACTCTGATACAAGTTTCATTTTGAAAATCGGCCGTTCGACGTAGGCCTACTTTTGATTGTTTCTCGCGCGTCTGCCTTCGAAACGCTGCCGTCTTCCTGATTTTTCATTACTTTTTATGGCTACGTGCAAAATGTGAAACTAATTTTCAAATTTGGTACTTGGAATACGGTCGTTCGTCGTAGTACAAAAAAAAAATGTAAAATTTGGTTAAGGCCAGGTTTCAGTCGACAGACGAGTGGTTTTAATGTCCATTTTGTACTTGTCAAATCGTCGGTATCTTCTCATAGTCTTTTTTGCAGCTAGCTCTCGGACTGGTACTTTATTAGTATTTTACCTTAGTAAATAATAATTTGAGAGAAGTTTGACTATACCTACAAATTAAATTTTTTGTTATTATTTCAGTTGCCAAACAACCCCTGCTAAGCATACTAAATTCCCCACATATTGATTGTTAATACGACCGCGAAGTAGTGAAATTATCCTCGAATTGCAGAGAAGTAAATTATGGAAGTCGGTAGTACAAAGTATTGTGGCGCGATTACAAAGTTTACGATTCTCAAACTCGTTAACAACTTGTTCCATGTTAAGTTGGGAATTAAGTTGTCTACATTTACTCTGCTGCTATAGTTTTCCGTTTAAGGATAATAAAACTTATAACAACAGAAAACTAAAGACATTCCTGCGGTGCAAGAAATAGCGCCAAATTTATTACAAGAGCAAATTGAACAAGGCAAAGAATTTTAAATATGGATACTATCGCATCGATAAAATTCCTTATGATCAAACAATTTTCATAATAAAATCCCTCAGGTTTGTGAGTTTTTAATAAGTAACTCTGGAAATATTTACCTGGAAAATACAGGCACGAATTTACACAAAAGACCGAAATATTAAAATATGTTTACTGAAGCGCATACATAACGTTCTCATAGACAAAAATGTCTACCATTTTCCTCAAATATTAACATAAAAGAAGATATGTGTATGTAACGGAAATTGTATATTCATTGTTCGTCATAAATCGGAACAAAAAGTTACTTAATTACCAATTCATTTATAATTCTTGCGTTAATGAGAAAATTATTCCCCTTTTAATGGTGTTCACCAAAAAAGTTTAAATCTACAATACGCTATTATTTGAAGAAATATAATTATCTCGGGCTTTTCTCGTACAATAACTATCTCTACCAATTCAATCGGGTTGTGTGAAACAAGTGAATTAAGATCGTCGCGCTTTGTAAAGATTCTCAGAACAATTACAAAAATTTCTAAGAAGTGGTTTTGCGCACCACCGAATGCCTTATATAATGATAGGAAAAAAAAGTAGAGCCTATTCATTTATGTTATCCATTAGTATTGTATTTTAAAATGCCCTTGCTAATTAAATCACTATATCTTAAGAGAATAGTCATTAATTCACTTAAAATCGGGTCAAGAACCCATTGCGCAACAGGGTAATGTGCGTCTCTATTCGATCTAGTACTAACGCGCTCTGTGTAATTAGTAAGAAAATAGCTGCTGGAAAATAATTACGTAGTCTATTGGTCTCTTGAGAACAAACCGTAAAAAGTTGGTACGCAATAAATTCTAATTTTGCTACTCTGTTCTTGACAAGCATACGTTAAAAATTTAAATAACAAACTACTATCTTAATGAGACAAAATTCCGTACAAAGGCAAAATGAATTTTAAATACACAGATACGATAAAGAAAAACTGGCCCTTTGCAGCGCGAAGCGTAACTTCGTTTACTTTAGACTTGTAGATTATGTGCTACTTTTTTGTTTCCTCCTAGCTCTGGCAGAACCTGTTAGAGCTCGTTGGAGACGTACAACTGGTAGGCTACTATAAAATGGGTCAGTACTTACTCCGAAACATAGACAAGGTCATGCTCATGTTATGCTTCGACAAGGGGCTTCTTGATGTAGCAAATCATCCGAAATTCCTCAAGTCAAAGAACTTAAACGAGATGTTTTTGTTGCTTTTAACTTGCCGGCTGCGTGTAGGTTAGAGTTAGCCCTCCACTGTCTAAGAAACCATAGGCTTTTGGCGTTTTTGATGTTTGGGGAGCAACAGGTCTGCCTACTTCTCTGTCCGAAACCGTAGAAGATACGACGATGGTCAAATTAGGTAAACGTTACGCTATTAAACAGTGATTATCATGTTTTAAAGAAAACCAGAAAATCCGATATGCCAGAAAAACCGAAATTTGCCGATTTGATTTTTTTTCTGATGTTATTTGAACAGATAATGAGATTTTCAATACAATGTTTAGTTTCGGAGAAATCATCAACTTTATTTTTTGATATGGCCCGTAAAAAAGTGCATATTCTATTGAGTAGCATTTTTTATTACGAATCCAACGATAATAAACAAAACAAAATAAAAGTTGGAAACTGTTGGTTCCAACAGGATGGTGCACCCGGGCACAACTCTATATATGGCAAATATCCTGGAAAATGAAAAGGTTCTCCGATAGGTGTTCTGGCACGATTAGAACGTTGTGCGTGGGTGCACCATTCTGTTGAAACCAACAGTTTCCAACTTTTTTTATGTCTGACATATCGTTGGATTCGTAATATAAAATGCTACTCAATAGAGTATGTACTTTTTTATTCGCCATATAAAAAAATAATAATGATGATTTCTCCGAAACGAAACGTATTTAAAATCTCTCAACGGTGTCTGGTAGAGCTCAAAAGTGGGAATGGGAAAGTGTTATTTATCTATTTTATTGTATCTCTTCAAATAACATCAGAAAAAACCAAATCGGCAAATTTTGGTTTCTCTGGCATATCTTCGGAAGTAATCGGGAATTTGTGGTTTTCTTTACAGCATGATAATCACTTTTTAATTGCGCAACTTTTCCCTAATTTGATCGTCGTATCTCCTGTGGCTTCGGAGATCCCCACGATAGACATTCTTATTATCTTGGACACAGTGTACGAGGGTGGATTGATATAAAGCTAGCCTTTGATAGATGGCGTTACTTGATACCGAACTGCTCTCGGTTTTGACATTTGCCATTCATGACACGACCTCTGTCAAAATTTTAAGCCAAAAAAAATTAGTTTAGTTTTTACAGCCGTCAGAAGAAAAATGGAAATAATCGAGTATCGTTCGGTGATTAAGTTCCTCCACAAAAAGGGGAAAACGAATGTGCAAATCAAAGCCGACCTGGACGAAGTATATGGTGAGGCTGCACCTTCGTTAGCACCAGTAAAATTTTGGAAAGCTGAATTTGTTCGTGGGCGTAGGAGTGTTTTTGATGATGAGCGTCCTGGGAGGCAAAATGAAGTCACCACGCCAGAAATGATCAACAAAGTCCATGACATGATTATGGCAGATCGTCGAATCAAGCTCCGCGAGTTAGTAGAGGCCCTAAACATTTCCAACGAACGCGTACACAACATCATTCACCACCATTTGGACATGAAAAAGCTATACGCGCGATGGGTGCCGCGTTTGCTGACAAACGCCCAAATGAAAAAAACGTGTGACCACTTCGGAGACGCTTTTGGCGATTATACGGCGCGATCCTATGGATTTTTTTCGCTGATTTATCTTGCCAGCGACTTTTTCCTGTTTCCAAACCTAAAAAAATGTCTCGGAGGACGCCGTTTCGCAACAAACGATGAAGTCGCTGAAACTTCGGCCTATTTTGAAGAGCTCGAGCGAAAGTACTATTCGGATGGGATAAAAAAATTGGAACATCGTTTTACTAAGTGTATAGAGCTAACAGGGGACTATGTTGAGAAATAAATCGATTTAATCCCAAAAAACTTGTTTTTTTCTATCAAAGGCTAGCTTTAGGTATATCAATCCACCCTCGTATATACAAAAAACTTGTTTTTTCTATCAAAGGCTAGCTTTATATCAATCCACCCTCGTATATACAGAAATTGAGATAAAATACATTGAAGGAATGAGACCATCGACGGATTATTATCCACTAAGCAAAATTGCTTAGAATAATAATAATAATTTATTAGTGGAATTAGTGCTATGTAATACAGTTTTACACGGGTCAAAATATAAATCAGAACTGATAGGTCTAGGTAAGTATAAAAGGATTAGGAGAAGTCCTTGTTATGATAAAATGTATAATTTAAAAATTCATTGGTGTGGTAGAATTACTTTTGTATTAAGAACTTTTTGAGAGTTATCTGTAATTCTCTAGGTTCAAGTTTTTTGATATGAGGTAGGACGTTGAATAATTTAACTCTATTAAAATAACCCACGAACATCTACTGAATCGTACTAATCCCCGACAGTGCAATCGATGTAGGATGGCCCTCACAGTGGCCCATATAATAACGGACTGTCCAGTATTCTTTAATGAGCGTGTAACACATAATATTATGCCAAATTATAATCAGAATTTGACCACCTGGAATAAAGCTAGAAATTTATTGAATTTTTTTAAAAGTATTGAAGTGTATGGGGAAATTTAGATGTGTGATTACATAGATGTGAATTAAAAGGGGATATGGGCTTAGCTGCTGAACCCTCATCTAAAAAAAAAAACACTATTATACTACTCTATTATATGGCGCCATAATGCCATCATCGTCTCGTGTGCAATATTCATGTTGCATGATTTTCAAACAATATAAACTAAAGTTTCTTATGACTTGTAAAACAACTTCAACGATATTGCTGTGTGCATTGATCCCAGGTCAAGAAGGACCATACAACCTAGCTAGTTCTGTCATTTTACTTTTCCCGGCACAAATCCTCGCTCCGGTACAGATGGATGATTCAATTCTGACCTCAATTATTTTCTTCACTCCCAGCATACAGTGGGCAAATTCAAAATCCTCAATTTCCAAGCTAACCTTAACTAAATTTTGATCAACAATTAAAATGAACTTTGGACGAGAATCTGTGAGCATCTGAAACTGAAGGTTTTTGGAGGAGCTAAATGATGACAGAAAAATATACAGGGTGTTCCATTTAAAAAAGTGAGGTTTTTTAATATGAAGTTTTGCAACTTTGGACCTACCAAAAAAACACCCTGTAAGCTATTTTTTTAATGTTTTATACTTTTATAGTATATGCATTTATTTGACTTTTACTGAATTTAATTAATTAATTTAATTAATCCAGGATAAAAGACATAAAACCTGGAATCAAAATTTAAGTAATAATTTTGACAATATACTGACGCTTGCAAATGCCCAATTTTTCTTAAAAATCGAATTTTCTTTAAAACTACTAGCTTTTCGGATATTAACCATATAATAAAAAAGACGAACAATTACACGTAGAATTCAAAAATGCATTCAAATACAGGAGGTTCTATTTAAAAAAAATGTACCATTTTGGCGCCCTACTTTGTGGGCGCATCCTGTATAATTCCAATTATTTTCAAAATGTGGAGAATATTCAACCACATCATAATACAAAAGCACTCTATCGAAAAATCTTATCTTCAAGGCATTAAGTTATTCCGTGCAATCGTTGACTCACCCTGTACAGCACCAATACATTCCAAAAGGGAGACAAAACGGTCGAGTAACAATAATGGCGTATACGTTCGTTCTTACAAGTAATCGTTGAATATCGTTTTGTACAGTACCGGCTTCCAAAGAAATTAAAGAAAACTCTGCACGACCTCGGATGGCAAATCAAAGAACTATTATAATAAGAGATCTAGAACACTTGGAACAAATTTACCACAGGAACAACTTAGATCTAAAACTAGTGGATTACAAAGAAAATACCTAGATGACGTAAGAATTTAAATCATGAATATCAATCGTTAAAAAAAACAACATTACAGTGTGATAAAGAACGGATTAATTAACGGATACGACCATCAACGTGCATCTACCTATGCCGTTTTTAAATGAGGAAAAACCTCTATCGAGCCCAATGGAATTTATATGGAAATGCGGCAGATAAACTGGAGCGGGATAGTTCAACACAATTACCGAATCGCTTTACCCCGTATCGATCATCGCTTCTAAGTTAACTACATTTCACTTACCCATTTCGTAAACCATGCGCGCATGAAGGCACTTTGCGCTATTTTTAGCGAAAAGATTAGGTATACTAAGTGGATCTTTTTAGAAAGCGGTCGTAGGTATCTGTCATCTTTATTTGAATTACAATTATAAGAAATTACCTCATGGCTGCGGAAGATCAAAAGCTAATTGAAATGGAAAACTATACCTATTGTAACGTAGAAGTAAGTTTTGCTGTAGTAGCGATCGTTTCCAGAATTTCACAGAATTGACAATTGTTCTGACCGTCATTTTATATCGCGCATTTGAAGTAAGAATGACAGATGTCATTAGAGTGCACGATCATTTGTTTCACTCTGACTACCCTTACGTTTAAAGTGATCCCTTTATCTATTCCTCACGGTTAAAGAACGGCTTAGCCTACTCATTCAAACCTATTGAAGTGTCAATTTAACATATCCTATAAAAAAAATAATATAATGTAGATAATTAGTTTATACTGCTAATTACAAGCATAATATTTGTTACAGTACCACCACAGAAGCCTACCATAATAGACGAAAAAGGCAAAGAAATATTATCCGTTGCTGGTCCATACGATGAAGGTGGCGACATAAAACTTACCTGTATAGTGAGTGGAGGTAAGTTGCTTTAAAAGATACATTCTCTTTAAACTCTCTACGTCTCAATTTTACTATCCTGCCTGTTTATTCCACAAAAACCCCAATATACCGAAGTTGTGTAAGTCCAGACAACTATTGAATACTAAGTAAACTTTATCAAGACAGAATGACGTGGCAATTATTGATAAAGTTCGCCTTTATGAAGCTTATAGAGCAATTCATAACACTGAATTCTCGCTCACAATTACACGCAAAAGTAATTAAATTCACGTCTTTGGCATTCAATATTAGTATGTGTTATAATAAATCTCCAATAGAAAATGTCAGTCAAATTCTCTCTCAGTATTTCAAACGAACATATTCTTAACGTCTTTGGCATTCAATATTAGTATGTGTTATAATAAATCTCCAATAGAAAATGTCAGTCAAATTCTCTCTCAGTATTTCAAACGAACATATTCTTAAAAAGGAAGCGATTAAGATTTACCGTTTATTCGCGAATTCGAGTTAATGCGATTCACTAAAATACGAAAAAAAAGGAAATTACTAATAAATCCTTAATATTAAAGGTCGAATCAATAATATTTGCCTTGGGGAATACCGTACCCCAAATCAATACCGATGTATTTTAAAAACTCGTAAATGCTACAAATGAATGTACTTCAATTTCTTCATGCGATGTTCATTTATTTCGGGGCCGTAAAAAATTTTCGTACATCATATTGATTTATTTTACGCCAAGTTTTGAAGCGTAAACAATTTTGTTATACGAAAATAAAAAAAAGAATAAACATATGAGACGGACATTCTCTTTTATGACTCTATAAAGTTTTTATTGCACTTACGCGTTTATTACGTATCATCGCTTTTGTCGCAGATTCTATTTATACATACATAAAAAAGGTCGAAATAGTGTTCTTATTTAAATTTTATTTGTTCTATTGTGATGGTAATGAGAGCTTTGATCGTCTACAATAGGTAATGTCCATTCGCAAAACTTCCTGGTTAATGATATACGTACCAAGGCAACGGGATACGTATCTAAGTGAGTGGTGTGGACATTATTATTGCTTTTATTTAATTTGATATGACATTAAAGTTGATAAAATTTACAGGTGTTTTTTTGTATAAAATTTCTTTTATCACTAGAAATTATTTGTTAGGCATTATTTTGTATAAAATCGACCCGTGTGTTAGTTACTGGACTTTGAAAAGACAATAATTGATATTTTGTTTACGTTGGTAAGTATTTAACTGCGAAAAAGCGGGTTCCTACGAAAATATAACGATGTTAACGATAACGCATTGATTATAAAAAGAGGTGTTACAAAAAGAGAAAAATCCTCGGACACTCAGATTTGATCGTATAGGGGTTTTGCTGATCTTTTTACAGCATTATAGTGATTGAGTCACTTTATTCGCGAATACAAGTATACTGAAAATTCTTATCGTAAAGTTAAAGATTTTTTTTGTCTATTTTGATCTGTGGCGTTTGATGAATATTAAATTGATTTTATGTAAATTTAAGTTAGGTATTGGAGAACGTTAGAGTTTAATTTTAGATTGAAGGTGTTTGTAATTGGTTTTAAAAAGTTTGTCCAAGTGTGTTTATGAACCCAGTTAATTTTTAATCGTTTATTAATTTGGCCAATCCGAGTGGTTCTTTGTAACATAAAAATAAAGCCATTACATTTTGTTCTAAAATCTAGTTATTGTCGCCGTTTGAAGTTATTTTCAGTGACCAATAGTGGGG